CAGGTTCCACTTAGAAACCAGCAGGTTCCACTTAGAAACCAGCAGGTTCCACTTAGAAACCAGCAGGTTCCACTTAGAAACCAGAAGGTTCTACTTAGAAACCAGCAGGTTCCACTTAGAAACCAGAAGGTTCTACTTAGAAACCAGCAGGTTCTACTTAGAAACCAGCAGGTTCTACTTAGAAACCAGCAGGTTCTACTTAGAAACCAGCAGGTTCCACTTAGAAACCAGAAGGTTCTACTTAGAAACCAGCAGGATTTAGTCATATCCCATCAGGTTCTTCCAAACCCATCAGAACCAGCTGCTAGATCCGGTTCTGTCCCCATGGTTCCAGCAGCGTCAGGTATTCTTCAGGTGGCTGTGAATCATGTTCTGGTTCTAAAAAGAACGTTTTGGGTTGTAGACCGACGGAGAAGTGGTGGTTCTGGTCACCGGGGTTCTGGTCCTTATCACCCTCCTACCCATGATCCCTCAGGCTGGGAAGCAGCACATCTACGACTTCTTCGACGTCTTTGGACGCCTGGTTTCCTGGAGCTACAGGAACCCTGGTGAGTGCGGCCAGTAGGCGGCGCTGCTGCTGCAATAGATGCTCCAGGTGGGGTGCTGTGCTCTGACTGGCTGTGGTGTCCTCCTGCAGGCCAGGTGTCTGCGGCGTACCTGGTCCACCTCCATGCAGGCGTCTACTCCCTGTTCCACCGTCTCTATGGGATGTTCCCCTGTAACTTTGTCTCCTACCTGCGGCTGCACTACAGCATGAAGGAGAACATGGACACCTTCCAGGAGCTGGTCAAGGTCAGAACCAGCTGACTGGTCCCAGAACTGGAAGTCTGCTCTGCTGGGCTGGTTCTGACCCAGAGTCCAGACAGAGTTGTTCTGGTTCTGATTGGACTGGCTTGTCTTTCAGCCGATGTTGGAGCATGTCCGGATTCACCCGGAGCTGGTGACAGGGACCCAGGACCAGGAACTGGACCCGTCCAGGTGGGTCCCAGTAGAACTCCTACTATCATAATTATTCAGAACCAGACCGGTTCAACATGTTCTGGAGGCGTTCTACTGTCCAGACCTGGTTCTGATCACAGTCTGTGGGAGGAGCCATAAGGTTCTGCTTGGAGGTTTCCATGTCTGAAGCGTTGGAACCAGTACGGACCTTTACTGGTATGGATTGGGTTCTGGTTTGGTGCTCAGAATGACCTCTGACCTCCGTCCCTGTCAGGTGGAGACGTTATGAGGTCCATGACATCATCATTGAGTGCTCCAGACTGTCTCTGGACCCGCTGGAGTCGTCCTGTGAAGAGGACGTCCCCAACCCCACCCCTCTGTCCTCCCCTGCTCCTCACCTGGATCCAAGCCACGCCCACCATGAGGTGGAGCCAATTAGCAGCTCAGGTGAGGAGCAGCATCACGGTGTAGAAGGTGTGAAGGTGGGATTTAATCATGAAGGTGTTTGTGTCTCTGGACAGGAAACTCCATCAGTCATCCTCAGCTGGAGCTGAACTCCTCCTTCCTGCAGGTACCACCTCCCTCACTGGTCCAGAACCCAGACGTTCTGAAGGTTCTGGTTTTATTCTGATTTTTAATCTAAAGTTCTTTTAATAGTAAAATGTTAATCTGAAGTTTTTAATCCAGGGTTTAAAATTTCTGGGATTTCAATCCAGTGTTTTTAATCCGACCCGCCCCCGGACCAGGTCCAGATACCTAAAAGCAGAAGGTCCGGGTAGTTGAGATGATCCGGTTAGAACCCCTCTGGGATCCTGATGTTCCAGGTTCTGGAACTCCAGCAGAGAGACCTGGTTCTATTTTACAACCAGGTAGCAGGTGACTCCACAGGTGTCTGTCTGTGTTCAGGCTGATGAGCTCACCTGGAGCCCCTCCTGCGTCTGTGGTTTGGCCACGCCTCCTCCAGAGCCCGCAGCTACAGGCCCCACCCTCTGCTCCATCTCAGGTAAACTCCTCCTCCTGTGTGTCAGAGGTCTGCACTCTCTCCGCTAGATGTTTTCAGGTGTGAAATATCCCTCACCAGCTTCTGTAGCTGTAGCCACGCCCCCTGACAGCCAGCAGCCTGTCAGCGCGCTGCAGGTGAAGGTGAACCTGGATGGTGCAGGTGAGTGGCTGGAAGGGAAGACGCCATGTTGGCTTCACCCCTGCGTCAGAGCGGCCATATTGGGAGTGGCAAGCCAGCTATGCCTTTAACCATGAGATAGATAGATATTCTATAGATGATAGATATTTATAGAATTGCTACCTCTCTTATGGTGGCTCGATGGACGACATCACTGGCGGCCATCTTTCATTCATTTAAGCTCATTTTCATTCTGGCCTGTTGGTATTTAAAAAAAAAAAAAAATTAAAATAATTAGTTTCTTCCAGACAATTCATTTCTTTGGGAAGCGTCTGTTCCAACTGTTTCATTTCCGAACTCTCTCCAGCGGTGCACGACTTTACACGAGTGAATAAAGTGAATGTGGTTGGTCGTTTATCAAGGGGGCGGGATTGTTGTGGCGGAAGGTTCGCAAGCAACCGCCCTAACCCCTAAGTCCCTCCATCACTATAGAGCGGGGACTATATAGTGAACTTTATAGTGAACTCAGCTAACTGACCGTTCAGACAGATGATCACTACTTTTTGCTCCGTTGGTCACGTAACTCCTCCTCCACCGCGCGGAGCCTGCGCCATCTTTGTTATTAGTCGCTGTGACAGCAAATCCCATAATGCTTTGCGAGGAGAGCTCTCCACGCAAAGCATTCTGGGATATATCTGCCTCTTCTGAGGCCTTTCTTTTCTTCTCATCCACTTCATAGACCCTTTTTTCTCTTCCGACCCTCGGCCATTTTCAAAGAACGGCGGTGAGAAAGGTGAGCTTCAATGACTGACTGAAACCGTAGCTAACAGGACAAGCGCGTAGGACGGCCTTACGTAAACACATCACCACAATGATTGACAGTTAAGAGGACCACTGATTGAGATGATCCACTCCTCTATACCTTTAATACTTTGACTCCTTTGGATTATATATGGACACACATATATAACCATTAGGCCTAGATACTGATTCTATATAAATGCCATGCATGCATGTTTATTGTGGCTAGCCTGTTTATTACGGTATGAAAGTCCTTGAAAACTCGCTCCACTCTAGCATCGTTAGTTAGAATCATTAGTAAGTTCTCATAACTATATTGTTAACGTTTATAACAGATCAGATCTTTGAAAACTGAGAAAGTTGTGATTATTTATGGGCGAGCTGACTCAGGTAAGATGGCTACCGTGTGCAGATGTTCCGCTCCCCTGGCCAGTTTTATAAGTAAACCTCTAACCTGGGCGCTCCATGCAGCGCCTCCCAGAGGTGCTCACGCTCAGTGACATCATCAAAGCTGGACGCCTTTGTCTGTCTGCAGATGTCCCACCACCAGCCGCCCCATTGAAGCTCCTCACTCTCACCCCCAGCTGTGATTCTGGCCTCCCCTCCCCCCTCTGCCTCACCCCCCCTGAGCCCCCTGCCCATGTATGTGAGGCCCCAGGCCCCGCCCCTCCCTATGAGTCGCTGTTTGATCTCGCCCTGCCTCGAGCGGCTAAACTCTTCATTGTCAGGAAGACGCAGGTAAGGAGACGTGGTCTGAGCGAGGCTCGGTTTTCCGCTCAGAGGGCTGAGTGTCGTCTGTCCTCTAGGAGGCGCTGGAAAGATCTGGAGGGGAGCAGAAGAAGGAGGAGCAGAGCTCCATCTCTCCCCTGAAGGTTCTAGACCAGATGATTGAAAACGGAAACGACGCTCACCAGCGTCTCAGCAGGAGGTGAGAACCAAGGAAGGTCTTAAAGCCTCCAGAACCTCCTCTGATGACACTGTGGTTCCTCTGCAGGTTCTCAGCCGGAACCAGGTCCATGGAGCGCAGTCAGATGGGAGGTAAACAACAGAGCATGAGAAGCAGAGGTACCTGAAACTAACATCCTGTCAACTCACCTGCGCCCCTTTCTGCTAGAAACACACCCAGAAACATCTGGCTGGGACCAGAACCTGCTGCTGCACACGATTAGAACCATCTTTCAAACTGGACCCAGTTTCCAATCTGATCCAGAACCACGTCCCAGAGAGCCCCGCCCACCTTAAGCCCCTGTCACACCTTGTTGATTTAGACCAGCGTATGGCTGAGGTACATAAAATCTGACAGAAACACTGGCAGATATTGGATAAGTTATGAGCTCGCAGAAACATGCTGAAACACGCTGAGACTCACTGAAACACGCTGAGACTCACTGAAACACGCTGAGACTCACGGAAACACGCTGAAGTAGGCTGAG